AACTCCCCTTACACTTGGCGTTTCGATTAAAGTTGTTCCTCTCGAGCACACACCTCAACTAGCTCAAGTCACGGCATTACTCAAATTTTCTTCATGATGCACCGCTGCGTAAAGGGTGTGGCAGCTTGTATTGGTTTGAAGGGGGAATTCGAGCGCCGACTGGTGCGACACTTACGTCAAATGAGGTTGCGAGACGAATCACGTGTTTTGATACGAACGATCGGCGGACTACGGGAGCGGCCGCATTGATGGGAAATGGGCTAGCCACAACGCAACGTAATTTCAGCTAGGAAAATATTAGAGAGTTTTAGTACTGCGGAATGGTGCTGCGTACGCATCACGCAAGCGCCTTGCGTTACGTGGCGTCCTTTGCCACTAATCGGCTTTTAGTACGCCGTAGTACCCGCGTACGTAACGAGGGTGAAGCGTGTTGCGTCATCTGGTACATCAAAATAGAAGTACGTGTTGTTGACGGCCAATGTGAGCCAATCCACGTGTTATAGCCAGATTATGGCCATATTTTAAGCCAAAGAGCCGGTGGGTGCTTGCCTTCGATGCCGCCATTTTGCAAAACGAAGTCTCGCGCTGTCTCGAATTTGTTCGAGAGCGGCGCGATCACCTCATACGTACGCACGCACGCATCTCATGCGTGCGTACGTAGCAGCTACGCACGTAACGCGATACGTGCGCGTTGCGGTCTGCGCATGCGCACTACGCAGAACGTGGCCTCCTTACGTACGCAACGCCGCCACGTACGCAGCGCACGCAGTACTAAAACTCTCTATTCTTTTTTTTCCGGACTCGGAAACTTCTTTTGAAACCTCACCTTACATCTCATAAAGGGCTCCGAAATAAATGCATATCCGTAACGTGATTGAAAAGGTTAACACGAAACAATGGAAGTAGCTGTGTCATACTTGAATCCGGTATTGATTGATTCGCTCATTCATTAAACATACGCACCCATACACATTCATTACCTCACACACTAAAATCATCACCATTGCATGCATTCGAACACGAATAAACCCCTTAATCGGCTATAACTAGTTTGTAAAGAAATATTGCTCATGAAAGAGGTGTTTACATAACTTCGAAAATGTTTTTAAATTTATTGTTACATTTGAAGGGTTGCTCATTCACATGTGTAATCGATTTTCAGGTACACATTGTACATCATCGAAGGTGTTTCTTTTTACTGTTACATATTACTATTAACTTACATATAGCATTGTGTATTTTTGACATGCCGTAATGATTAACCGTATCAATGTTTTTTCAAGCAATGGCCAAACTGCAGTCGCTCAACATTGGCAACCTCATTTGCATAGTGCTAACCACGGACCCTTTTATTTTGAACAAACAAAAAACTGAATTTGACATCTTATATGTCAAATGAAGTCCAAGCCGATGCGGACGATGCCTTAAATTCAGGGCTCCGCTGGCCTTTGCTGCTCACTGGAAAAATTGAATGCGGGCTGGCTACTCTCTCGTGTCCGAGCTGGTAGGTGAAATTTGAAAGTACTTTTTATACTACGAGTCTAAAAGCAAAGCTGTTTGCTTTACTCCATAGGTCTACTGGAACACTGTCTTGAGTGGGGAAACGATCGTTGGCTTGTCAGCAAGATGTCTCAGGCTGTTTTTCTTGTTTTTTTTTTTCGGAAGCGAGGGGTGCAGTAACAGACAACCTAAATGTATGTATGTTTTTGCGTGTGCCCGTTATGTTCGAGTGCTGTGCATGTGCAAAACTTCAAAGTTTCGGAATGGCGAAGGAAGTTAGTGTTCGTAGCCCATATAAACATGGTGCCCAGATAAAGAAACTGTACATCCGATCACATGGACTTGTCGAGCCGCCCCAATCCGTTAAGCCTAGTTCACACTGAAACATCCGCTTCCTACAGTGACCGAAATTCCCCTGCCACCGAAACGCAGCGTCGTTCGCACTGGACGCGCCCCGCGCCGCCGAATATGCATACGACTCGATGTGGGAGACCCCGCCCTGGTCATCGAACTACCGTACACTAAATAGCGATTTTACGAACCAAGTAAGATTTGCGGTGATGGTGAAAAACAGAGTAGACCCAAAATATGGACCAGGTGGCCTGTGCGCCCACTTCCAAAAACTGGAACTTTGCAGCCAGCACACCGCAACGAAAGAACGATGGCGTTGTACCTTCCTTTCATTGTCTCTTGCCTCTCTTTGTTCTTAGTTTGTGCCGTCATTACTTCATATTTTTTTTTGCTTCTTTCGCTGTTATAGCGTTTTCTGTCTTGTCTTCACGGTTGGGCGTTGGGAAAGCAAACGGTCGACCACGCGGGAGAATGGCGCTACGGCCGCTTACAGCGGCACGCGGAACAGCTCCGATCAGCGACCCCACCTTTCTGCTGCCGAGCTCAGTGTGCGTTGGGCCGAGGTGCGATGCACTTTTCACTGGCTCACTTTGTGTATAAAAGCAGCTGGAGAAAGAGGCGCGGATTCTCAAAGAAGTACTGGCAAAAATCATTAGGCTGGGGTAACCTGTGGGATAGAATTGTGTGAGCACACACACACATCATCCACAAAATGTCAACGGATCATATAGCTTATAGAACGTTTAAAATCGGTCTTAAAGTACCTGTCACGCCACTATTCTCGAAAACAAGAGCTTTTAGCCTTCGTGTCAACAACCAACCGCACCCTGCATCACGAGTTTGTGTTGGCTGCCGCGTTCGTTTACAGTCCGCTCTCCTGGCATACGTCTTCAATGGTATGAGGAGACAGACATGCAAGGTAGGACAAAGGCTGGCTTCATTGCCTAGGCAGTGCAGTTTAAATGCGACGGACGTCCGTCCGTCCATCCGTCCGTCCGTCTGTCTGTCTGTCCGTCCGTCCGTCCGTCCGTCCGCCCGTCCGTCCGTCCGTCCGTCCGCCCGTCCGTCCGTCTGTGACTGGGTGCTCTTGTGATCCCCACCTTAACTTGGAGTCAAGTAAAATTAGTATGGAAGGGCAAGATGGTTTGACGAATATCATAGCACGCGCTATAGTCAAGACTTGAATAATGCAAAAAATACCCGTCGCGTAAGTCGTCAAACACTTCCCGCCAGGCAGTGGCACATACCCAATGGGCGGGTATGTGCCACTGGAATGTGGGTATGCGCCACAGTTGATTGAAACTTAGTATCTACCCATGAACAGCGAGAACACACATTGGTAATTTTAACACGTGATTCCCGTTGCACTGCGCCACGTCGAAAGTCAAGAGACGTGGTTCCACTACACGCAACTATGTAATCCTCCAGATTTACTTCAAACCTAATGATGCAACCTCTTATAAAACAGGTTTCATGCATCGTACAGAGCGAATAACAGCAAGGTATTATGAGCCAAAGACATGATGCTATGACAGCTAGGCATATCGTGGCGGAGGGCTGCGTAAACGTCGACCATGGGCTCTTAATTAACGTCCACTGACGTCGCACAGTACTCAGACCTCCAAAATTTCACTTCCATCAAAATGCGACTGCCGCGGCCACGATCAAACACGCGACATTCCGGTCAGCAGGCGAGCATTGTGACCACTGCACCACTGTGGACATCCTGAACCAAACCTGCTGCCTCATCACCCAGAAAAAGAGAGAGAGAGAGATAATAAAACCTCATTTCTTTTACCAGGCACTTTACTCAGGATCGTTTATGGCCGCCTCACTTCAGGTACAGCCATGGACCTGAGCTTGCCAGCTGTGGCTCCCACTGGTCCTGTGTGGATCAACACCAAACCTTCTTTGTGAGTTATTTTTGCACATCCAGATCACGTCATGGAAGGTTTTCGGGAGAAGCAAGAAGAATAGGTGCTTATGAGTGGGGATGTTATTTCCCTGTGGAAATCCCCACGTCCTGCTAGTGTTCCCTTGCATGCCAGTTTGGGCTCTTCTGAACACACGGCTACAATAGCTCTCCATACCATTGAGTGCACGAAACCTTCAACTCCCCATTGACTATACCGAGACGACAGGCCAGTGGTGAACAGCCCCGCCGAAACAAACGGTTTCGTGAATAAGGCTCCTGTAACATCCGGAACGCGCACGCTCTAGGGAACAGGTTGTTCCTAATAGTCATCTGCAAGAATGAACCAATTGAAAAAAAGCCCCTCGCGCTGGATAATTTTTAAATGCCAGAGTAAATTGGCGTGGACTCCCGAGCTTCGAGTGAACATTCATGGTCACATAAGCGAGCGGAAAGAAATAACGAGGTTAAAACCGAAACCCTGCTGGTTTACAAGTAAAGTCCATGCTCTCTTGCTTGATGTGTCAGTTTCAGTGAGCTAGTACATCAAGACACGTCGCGGCAGTGCCAACTATGCGTCGTAGTCCATGATGATCTCTTCCGGGCGACAGTGTCGTTTTGCGTTACGTACAAACCCACGTGTCCAATCAGTGAAGGGACTATTTGCTCCGCCTTGCTTCAAAAAGCCAGTCAGGACGCACGGAAAAACGGTACATTGGCGCTACCGCGAAATGCATTAGATGTGGTGGCCCGTGAACCTGCTCCAGGTTTAACACGTGTCTCACGCCCAATCGTAAACACAGACACGCCAAAGCACCCAGACACAGCCAGAGAGAAATGGCCCGTTCACTTTCTTTATTTTCTTTTTTTTTGTTCTTCTAACGTTTCGCGTGGCGTGGAAATGCGGCCGATGTCTACAGCAAACGACGGCCTCGAGACGCTTTGCCGTGCCCACCGCGCCAGTGCTGCAAAAGCGTAGCGCCGCGCAGCGGCGGCCAGCGAAGAGAAAAAGAGGAGCACGCGCACCAGCCCACCAGCTCTGCCACCCTTTCTGGAGAAACGTCGAAGACTTTCGAGTCTTCCTCACCCACCGTCGTTCTCCTCGACTTTGCCCACTCGCCCCGGCTGACGAGGTAACAGTGGCGGTGTTGTGTGAAAGGGGGAGTCCGCAACACTCTCACGGCCACGACGGGAAGGAAAAAGAGGAGGGGGAGAAGAAAAGTGAGGCAAAGGAGGCCCGACTAACGGGACCCGCTCCAGAAGCGGCACGGCCCGAGGCAAGAGGCGCGCATAAAGACGGCGCCTTCGTTAAGCTGGGCCACGATAGCGAAACTCGCCTAGAAACTTCCCAGTCAGCACGGGGGGTGCCGGTGACGGCCCCTTCTTCGAGTAGGTTGACGTCATCGCCGCAGGAGTGGGTGCGCGCTTACAACGGGACTGCAGTGAAGGCACATCGAAGTGAGACTGTAGATCTCCTGTTGCAACCCGTCTTCAGTGTGGTAGTGGTTGCGGTGCTCTGGCCTGAAGCCACCACACCACTTGCGTTCTTCCTCTGCTGGAACTCCACGACAGCAGGAGGTGTGTGTGACACTTCGTCAGCTCGGGTTCCCCCGCCCCGAAGACGGACCCCCGGTCGATCCTGGATTAACCGCGGGAGACAGCGATACAAGGTACGTGCGAGATGCGAACAGGTGAACTATAACGGAGAGCGCGAATACTGTCAACCGACCGGGAACTCGGGGGTCAGGAACGCGAGGTCGCATTTGCGTGTCTCTTCCTTCTTGAGCCAGCTTAACCACTCGTTAGAGGTCTTTGGCAAGCAACGTAAATTAGTTACGTAAAGACGGCACGGTTCCTTTCCGTATGCGCGTACAATAGTTGCGCATGCGCACTGGTCAGCAGATTACGTGTTGCCGCCTTCCATAACGTGCTTCCGTAGCCTGCTAAAAACCTCTATTGGCTGGCTGTCTTGGCATACAATATGTGCAATTTCAGGATAGCTTGGAATTTCTTCTTATGAAAAAAAAAATTGTGCCAGAAAATTTTGGGAATAAGGGCCTCAGAGCGAGAATATACACATTTTGCCCTTCGTAAAACATGTTTTGCATGGGGCGAGGCGCTGATTTTAATCACGGTCGTCGAGATCCACGATCCGCGCTTATACGAGAGGCAAATGGTAAGCGGAATTCGACCCATATGTTCCACGGCGGCGGCTGAATGCAAGTATTCCGACATTACGAACACCTTAGGAATGCTTTTGCGATTCCATGTGGTTATGTCCGTAGCATCACTGGACTGCTTTACGCTAGTACCAGAGTGGATCTTCTATACTAAAGCAAGGTGTTCGTCCACGCGTACAAAACCCGCGGGATTATCGGTACAGCAGTAATGACCTGCCTGTGACGTCCCGGTCCGTAAGTTAGCATAATATTACCTGATGGAACGGACGTTTGGATTAAGCGTCGGCCTATTGATGAAACCATAGTTTTAAACAGGTGCTGACGAGCGGAAGTTAGTTAAGCAGCGTATTTACGTCAATATTCCAAGAGCGCTCACAAGTGTCGCGTTTTTGTGACAGTCACGGTATTTGTAACCACATCGAACCCAACAATCATTCCACGTGCCTAAATGAGCAGCAAGAAAACACTCGTCAAGCAGCATTTCGTGCGATTACTTTCCGAGAACGTGTCGTCCACGGCTTTAAATTACGCATGGTACCGTAGCGAAATCCACTTCATACATCGGTTCGTTGGTTAACTCGCTTCGGACACAAGCACTCAGCTGGTCGGTGCAGTAAAAATACTGAAGTGCCGACTCGGGGTAACTCTCCATATGAATAGATGTTGGGATAAACGTATCAGCAGTTATGAGTGCGTAAGCTGTGACTAAAAAGGATTTGTTCTTATAAAGAAGTCAGCTTTGCAGGCCCACCAGGGCAATTTGACAGACATCTGCACTGTCCACAGACGTCTTCCTGACAAGTAGGAGTACGGCAGTATGAGTTGTCCTTGTCTCAATGCTTACGTAGTGATATAGTCTCGTCGTCAACGAGGTAATCGCGGATACATCTACAGAAACGAGATCGGTAGGATTTCTCAACTGATGCAACCCGTGTACAGTTAGCGCGAACAACACCATCCTTTCAGTGAAAATAGGTCTACAAGTTTATGGAATACCTCGTATATACTTACAGTCTCACTGAGGGAAAAAAAAAAACGACGTACGGAAAGTCTCACAAGATCACCTGGATCGCAAGAGTAAAAGTTGGAAGCTTGTGGAGAGAAAGAGACAGCAACAAAACCGATTCAGAAACCAGATTAGAAATAAAAGAGGACGAACCGGTGCGCCACGGCCCATTCGCTAAACTTATCTCGATGCGTCGCCTGCTTCGGCTTTGTCTGGCAAAAAGACGTGAAAGCACACCTCGATAACGTATGCAATCGATGAACCGGTTACCCGCAATATTCTTCACCCAATTCGACTGTTCTGAAAGAGAAATAGCAAAGAGGAAGGCAAAAAAAAATACAGGAAGTTTCAGTAGTATGTCGCCCCTTTTTCAGGATTACATTTGAAAAGTAGTTGAATTTTAGTTTTTGATGTTCACAGAGAGTGCAGGTATGCAAAGTTGGGGTGATAAAAATCGCGTGTTTGGTTCCTTTCAAAAGTTGTGGTTTTTTTTTTCATAGATGCCCTCAAATTAAAAATGAAAGGTTCCCGCTATCAATGTTTCATTCATTGCACAGCTTATAACTACACCTACCCAAGCCATTCTCGTTTTATGTGGTAGTATCGGTAAAAGGCATACTTGGCGCAATACCTTTACTGATCGCATCTTAATCAGTTATAATTTATTTTGTTCGGCAGAGTTGAAGAGCGTTTTCAAACTGCCCTTCTGAAGGTAAACACTAAGCAATCCGCTGATATAAAAACCAAAAAGGAACGAACGTAACAGAAAGAAAGAAGGCAGGGAGGCTACTCTACAGCGGGGATTAGGAAAAGAAAATGAAGAGATGAGAGAGGTGGAAAGATAGGAAGGTGAATGAAACGGTGAATTTTCTGTAGTGTGCAGGACTGCACCGCAGGTCAGAGTTGTTCGCGCAAGCCCTTCGTCCTCCGAAAGTCTTGTAGGCCGACGAGAAATAGGGCCAGTGTCCTGGTAGCAACCGCATAGAAAGTGGCCGACCATGCAGTCATCGCGGTGTGTTGGAAAGTGCATGTCTCTTCGAGGCAAGATCGTGGGTTATGGCAGAACATTTAAAAAAAAGGTTGCTAGAAAAGTAGCGATGTACCTTAACCAGAGGAAGTCTCCGGTTTGGTACCCCGTACATGAGAAGGAGGTAGGTAGAAGGGTGTAAGGCAGGGGGACACAATTTCCCCAATGCTATTTACCGCGTGCTTACAGGAGGTTTTCAGAAGCCTAGAATGGGAACAGTTAGGGATAAGAGTCAATGGAGAATACCTTAGTAACCTGCGCTTCGCCGATGACATTGCATTGCTGAGTAACTCGGGGGACGAATTGCAACTCATGATTACGGAGCTAGACAAGGAGAGCAGAAAGGTGGGTCTTAAAATTAATCTGCAGAAAACGAAAGTAATGTACAACAACCTCGGCATGGAGCAGCGCTTCGAGATAGGTAATAGTGCACTTGAAGTTGTAAAAGACTATGTCTACTTAGGGCAGGTAATAACCGCAGAGCCGAACCACGAGACTGAAGTAACTAGAAGAATAAGAATGGGGTGGAGCACATTTGGCAAGCACTCTCAAATTATGACAGGTAGTTTGCCACTATCCCTCAAGAGGAAGGTATATAACAGCTGTATCTTGCCGGTACTTAGCTACGGAGCAGAAACCTGGAGACTTACAAAGAGGGTTCAGCTTAAATTGAGGACGACGCAGCGAGCAATGGAAAGAAAAATGGTAGGTGTAACCTTAAGAGACAAGAAGAGAGCAGAGTGGATTAGGGAACAAACGGGGGTTAAAGATATCATAGCTGAAATCAAGAAGAAGAAATGGACATGGGCAGGGCATGTAGCGCGTAGACAGGATAACCGCTGGTCATTAAGGGTAACTGACTGGATTCCCAGAGAAGGGAAGCGGGTTAGGGGGAGACAGAAGGTTAGGTGGGCAGATGAGATTAAGAAGTTTGCGGGTATAAATTGGCAGCAGCAAGCACAGGACCGGGTTAACTGGCGGAACATGGGAGAGGCCTTTGTCCTGCAGTGGACGTAGTCAGGCTGATGATGATGATGATGATGATGACATGAGAAGGAAGAACAGTGCGTAGAAAGAATGAGCGAGAAAAAATGGTAGTAACGATACTGCAAAGTCATTACAATAGTAATGCATATCTATAGTACTATCATCTCCACGTCCTGAAGTGATAGACGCATCCGAAACGACACAGCCACGAGCTCATCGTAAATTCGGCAGCGACGACTCATCGTTACGCGAAGTCGCCCCCTTTAGCTCTTTACGGTGGGCCCCACGACGCAATAAGAGTATATACCAAAGCTGGCAAGGTTGTACCGGCCCCCTCCTCTGCTTCAAATCCACATCATACCGATGCGGCGTCTGCCCCGGCGAAGCCGAAATATTTGGGCTACGAGGCAGTAGGTCACCGGCGCCCAAGGGGGCGCGCTTGCTGGGAGAAAGGCAGGACGACGAAGGAGAAAAAGAAGAAGAAGACGCCACCGGTTCTGTAGCTTCTTCGTTCGGTCAGTTTTTGCGGCGTATCGACCGTGACGTTGTGGGGCGAGCATTTCGTTCTCGTTCGGCCGGGCGTTACGCAAGAACCACCGCGCTCGGGCCGACCAGCCTGCCACGCGGTCAGCTGGTATGGTACGTTGTACGCGCCGTCACAACGCTGGTCACGGGACACAGTCCAGTGGCTTTACATTGTCGCAGTGTGTGTGTAGACAGGGACGGCCAGAGGAAGACCCTGCCCGATCACGTGGTTTTGGATAGAGATTTTTTTTTTCCTTGCTACGTTTATTCTATGGTGGGTCGGTCGAAGTAGAAGAAGACTGTCGAAGTCTTCCCTATAGTCTTTGTATATCATTAGAGTCCTGTGTATCATACTATACGGGAAGACTACAGAAGTCTTCCTTTACACTGTCCTTCAACTAGATCCACTATAGAGTATCTCTGGTTGAAGACTGTAACCAGAAATACTCAGTACAGATATACACGCACATTCGATACGGGGAGACAGCTGAAACCGGCTCTCGAAGTAATGCTTGTCTATCGGCGTTCGCACGAGGTAGCGAAAAAGAAAGGAGTGTGTCATCACGGAAAGCCTCGAAGCGTTCCTGTAAGCCGCAAGCAATCGCCGGCCGGCTAGCTATAGCACCCGCCATCGTCCGGCTTTGGTATACGCACGGCGCGTTTCTCCCGGAACATTTGCCGGCCTGGCTGACCAGTTTGACGCGTATAACGGTCTGGGCGGAGGCCGCTAGAGACTATGGCATCGAGCCATCGGGGGGAATGCGGCTTTCGACATCGCTCGCAATAGACTCGCCGATGTCCTGTTGCTGCAAGGGCCGCATTCGAGAGCTTATTATAGATGATAGACGACGCCTTCTCCTGGAATGCGTCTAAGACGTAGCGACGCTGCGAAGTTGGAGCACGCTTGGAAAGATCGAATCTCTGCTGACGTGAGTCACCCGTTGG